CGAAAGCTTATGCTCTAATAAATTTGTAAGTCTCTAAGGTGCGACAAGTCCTCCTGTTCATCTTTTTGCGGATACAGACTAACACGGCTGCTACTCTGAAACTTTGCTTTAAAGTAGATACTTCTGCACGGGAGCTGAAGCCAGGAATGTAATGAACTTGTTATATTTACATGCATATCACTGTTGTAGACTTGGCAGGTTGTCCCAGTAGTGCTGCCTCCTTGGGCTTTTGAGTAATTTATATTGGTTTTGTGCAGGGAAAGGAGGCTTTCTTTCTTTCTTTCTCTCTCTCTCTCTCTCTCTCCCTCCCTCCCTCCCTCTCTTACTGTCTGTTCTGTTTTGGACATTTGTTAATCCTTCTTTTCCAAAATTTCTCTCTCTCAAGTTCAACAGAAGAAGAAAAAAATCAAACCAGACAAATCCTATGCACATGTGTTATACTCTTACTACCAGTTCCATTGTGGTGAAATGCTGCACACATGGGTTAGTGCATCTCTCCTAGACTGCATAGCTGGAACCCTAGCCTCCCCCCTGGGCAACCATCTACACTTTTTTTTTTAAATGAGCATAAGTTTTGAGGCTTACTAAAGTAGAAAAGCCTTTTTTCCTCACGTGGGTCTAGAATTGTCTATCTTGCATGAATGTAAACCCCAAATTAATCTCAAATATTACAGAATCAGCCCTATATTTCTGAGGCAGAGACACAGTCATAAACTTAATCTAAAAGCCTTTAAGAACCTATATATGTAACTTTTCATAGAAATAAATAGGGACACAATTCTAGCACCAAGTTTGTGCTCCTAAAATTAAGGGAATCTAACTGCAAAAGACTAAATTTTCCTCATTAATTCACAAGCCAATCTACTCTAACAATATTTTTAGTATAATTATAATATAACACTTAGGCCCTGATAAGGCAAACACACATTTGCCTTTATTCATGTGAGTAACACTAAACATGTGTAAATATCCTCAGACCTAGAGCCCAATTCAGTCTCCATGTGCTATAAATGCAGTGGTGTATTTTTAATGTAGCAGTGCAGTAAATCAGGGTAGCTGCTATTGGAGTGTAATCATTTATAGTTAAAGAGATACTGCCACGTAGTGAAGACAACTTTTAGTACTGGTGCTCAAAGCAAAGACACGATGCTATGAATGTAAACGAAAACGGGACACACGTCTCCTCGTGTTTATAACCAGTCTCTTGCGGTATTTGCAACCCAGACTTTGTAGCGTTATGGCATTGCACGAGAATCTGAAAGTGAAACTCACTGGGAGGAGGGGGAGGGGAGAAGGGGTGAAACTACCCAGTTAATTTTCCTTTCCAACATGAGTGAAGGGCAGAAAAACAGTAGATTCATAATCAAGATATTTTAGTAACAATAAGAAAATCGGAAAAATAGATCTGATCTTTAGTTTAACGGTCGCTTGGGGCAGAGCTAGCTGGGGGAGAAGAAACAGCCGGGGGCTGTAGGATCTTACAGTGCTGCTTCCCTTCTGACAGGGCATCTTCCAGTCTGCTGTGAGGGCTGGAGAGGAACCCAGAGCGCATTAGGGCCCCGGAGAAAGACGGCGCGGCAGGCAGGTAGCCTGGTGTACTGGCTGGAGCTCACATACAGGCAGAGAGAGGCTGCTGGGGGCCCGATGCCAGAGGCAGGCTCTGCGCTCGCTCTCAGCAGATCCCGGGACTGACTCCAGCATCACTTTAATGGGAAGCGGATGGCGATGGCAGCGGCAGCCCAGCAAGTAAAGAAACCGCAAGCGCGGCTCTAAAGGCTGCTCCCGCCTCTGGATGCTCCCGCTCACACCTTCCACACGCCAGGACCGAGCCGCTGCAGGGGGGCTGGGGCGGCTTTGCTGTGGGTTCCCCTGGGCGCTGCAGCCCCCACTCCGCACCGCTGTGTGTGTTGCTGCTGCTGCCGCCCCCGGACCCCCGTCCCCGCCTGCCTCTCCCGGGCGGCTGGCAGAGCAGCAGCTGCTGAGGCTGGAAGTTTTCCTGGCAGCGCTGGGCTCCTCCGCCAGCCAGTCCCCACCTCCCCGCCGCGCGCTGGAGAGGAGCCGCGGCCGCTGCTGAGGGCAAGGCGGGGGGAAGCGCCGAGCCCAGCCGTCTTCGCTCGGATTCCGCAGCCTGGCCCGCCCCGAGGGGGAGGCAGCCGCCGGCCGGCCGGAGTCCCGGCATGCTGAAAGTCACCATGCCCTCCTCGTCCTCCAGCTCCTCCGCCGCGGGCAGGGCGCCCGACTACTGGATCGACGGCTCCAACAAAGACACCCTGGCGCATTACTTCGAGCTGGAGTCGGAGCTGGGACGGTAAGGGATAGGCTGCTGCTGCCCCGGGCAAGGGGGCATTTCCGGGCATCCTCCGCTGCGCGGAGCGGGCTTTTGGCTTGTGGCCGCGATCGGGGAGGGCTACCGGTGTCAGAGGCTGCGGGGACTTTTCTCTTGCAAGGTGGGGCTGGCTCCCTCCCCCATCCGCTGCCTGCTGCATTTCCTTTGAGTGTGGTTCATACTTAGATTTTCGCCCCCCCTTCCCGCATGCTGTCTCCTTTCCATGGGGGCTGCCTGAAATTGGAGGAGAGGAGAGGAGAGAAATGTGATAGCCAGGAAGACCGCCTCTGCCCCAGTGCTGTTGGCTGTATGGCAGTTCCCCTACATGTAGGGTATGCAGCATTTCCTAGATCCCCGCGTTTCCAGAGCTAGTGGGAGATGAAGACTTGTGGACGAGTTTGGGTTTTTTGGCTGGGGAGGAGGCAATCAAGATGATTATAGTGATGGTAAACTTTTTTTTGTTTTTGTTTTTGCTCTTTAAGACAAGTGACATGGGAAATTAAACTTAAATACCAGCTTGCTTTAGTGGCTTTTTAGTAGTGAAGGGGAGAATGAATCACTTAAAACAGTTGCAAGCAGGATTATAAATTGACATGTTGATACAAAGAGAAACCCTATATGTGAACAATTTAGCACTAATTAGCTGGGAAGAGCCTAAACTATTAGGCTCCGTGTACTGGCGTGGGGGGCGGGGCAGGAGATGTATTCCAAATACCATCGGGAGATATCATGTTCCTCATGGTGACCAGCATGTACAGCTATTGCCCATGGCCCTTCACCTGTGACTTGCCTACTTTGCCTTGACAGAGATGGCACTATAACTATTTTGAGATGTAGACATTTCACCTGAAGAAGCACTTATTTTTGCTCACTCTAAGGGTTACGGTATTTAACACATTTCAGGGTTGGCTCGTTTGTACTAGGAAAGCTCAAGATGACGCATTTACTGCTCTTGTCTATCAATTACAGTGTCTTGATGATGAATGCACCCTGATTTCAATCGCTGAAAAAGCTAAGCTGTAAACGATGTCCAAAGAGGCGTTAGTAGTTTTGTGCTGGATGCATATCTGCCCATTTTAAAGGTGTGGACGCATGTTAAACACAGAAAACAAATTCAGTTCAGAACGAAAGTCAAGCAAGTCCTATGTTAAAAGGAAAATACAAGTTAATTTGTTAAGAAAAACACACTATTGGCCCAATCCTATAAATGCTTAGCCTTATGAGTAACTTACATTAGTAGAGTTATCAACGTAAGTGTTTGCAGAATCTGGGCTTAATATTGTTCAGAGTGACTGTTAGGCATTTCTGTGACTAGGCCATACTGTAAGTAAATTGAACAGGAGTACTTGTGGCACCTTAGAGACTAACAAATTTATTAAGAGCATAAGCTTTCGTGGAAGTGCATCCGAAGAAGTGGGCTGTAGTCCACGAAAGC